TAGTCAATAACCGCGATATGAATTTTTACATGATATTCGGATTATGGTCAAGAATCAAATTATTATATATTTGGAGAAGCTTTATGAAAAATAGTTGTATTTGTGTAAAGACTATCAAAGTTTTAGGGGATACTTGTTCAAGGACTATTATACCAATGATAATGAATTTGAATTTTTTAATAAAAAACATTTTTCAAGGACTATCGAAAAAATAAACATGGACTTTTATGGAATTTTCTTCAAGGTCCATGAGAGAAGCAGCAGTGGATTTACAAATGTTTGTTAAGGACTGTCAGAACTATTAGCTGCGAATTATAATATTTTTCTAGAACTTCTACAGTTATAGGTCTGAACATTGTATGCACTATTTTTCAAGGATTATCAGGACATTTAAGGCAATTTTGGGGGCCAAGACATGTAGATTATTCATTAATATTTATCTTACAGTCGTGATAAGGGGTTTTTATGAACTATTTTAAGGGTTATCAGAGCTATAAACTCGGTGTTAATTAATAATATCTGTTCAAAGACGATGAGACGACGACTGTAAAGTTTTAAAAATCCAGGAACAAAGCTTGGATTTTGAAGGAATATTTTTAGCGCCTATCAGATCTGTATGCGTGGATTATTAAGTAATATTTATTACTGGTTATCAGATCTATAAGCGTAGATTTCTTAACAATTATTTTTCAAGGACTATCTGAGATTGTATGGTACTACTTTTCCAAGGACTATCATTGCTATTCGTGTTCATTTTAAAGAAAATTTATTGAAGGGAAATCAGATATGCTTCCAGGATTTTCAGGAAATTAATACTTTTGAAGAAATATTTTTTCGAGGATCAGTGTTGACAAACCAATACGGAATTCTCGAAAAATATTTGTTTCAGGGCAATAAACGTGATTTTTTAAGTAATATTTTGTTATGGACTATCAGTGAAATACGTGTCGATTTTATAAAGAATATTTTCAAGGACTATCGGAGCTATAAGCGAGGATTTTTTTCACGGGTTTTTTCTTTTACATATTTTTCAAAATACTGATTATACAAAAGGAATTTTTCTATAGATACTAACTCAATAAACTTTCAGTCACTAAAATTTTGCCAATATTATTTCTGTTATTATTCTTTAGAATTACTTTAAATATTGACCCCTTTTCAATTTCCATTACTCTCACATTTTCTAATTTCCCATTAGCATTATTTATATTTTATATATATTTTGATACTTGAAAACATTTTTATGCATAACCTCATAATCAGCCTCATCTGTTCGCACATCTTAAAATATTTGCTTTCAAAAATTTACTGCCTTCGCTCTCTCCGGGATTTTTAATTGAAAATTGTCATTGACATATTATGCATCAGTATAAAGGGCATCCTTGTTCTTGCCCTCCGGGAAGTGATAAATTTTCCTTCTTTTTTTCTGTGGCTACTTCAAACAAATATTGGAAGATCCATGGAAACCAAACAACATTACCACATGAACACATACACACGTACTTCATCAATACATTGTTAAGTAATTGAATTTTTATACTCAAAGGATTTTCTGTGGGTTATGCTGTCACATACGTGAGAGTGAGGGTTCGGGGGGTTTCTGCGGGTTTGTGGTTCATTGTTTGTGTTGGGCTATGTGTCTGGCTGTGTGTTGAGTAAAGTATCTGCAAATTCACTCAAGCATATGTGACCTCTAAACTTTGATTGGCAAAAACCCCAAAAAAACATGACACACAAAGATAAAGAGGGGAAGAGACAGCGGAAGAAGGGATGTGGGCTGATTGCATTTCATTGGAGAAAACATTAAATAAATGAATGAATGAATCGAATACTAGCAACGCCTGCATCAGTGGTCACACATGGCCAAGAGACATCCACACACACATATATATATATATATATATATCTACTCACATTGTAATTTGAACGTCATGTGTTGCATTCTAAGCTTTGTTGTTCTTATCTATGACTATGAATTGGCCTGTGTGTGTTTTCAAGTTTTTATGTACATGTGTCTGGTTGCTTGTCATGTATGTGTTTAGAATTTATTATCGAGTATGTATGTTGCCTGCTTATTTGACAAAACCAATACCAAACAGTACAATTCCGATACACTTCGATCCCCTTTGCCATTTTGAGTGTGAACTATATTGTCACCCGTAAGCATAGAAAGGAAATAAATTGAAGCTACAATCGTATTAGCAGATGGAAGCCAAACAATGCGGATGCTACCACAATTTTGACAATACCCCATGACTAGCTGTGTCGTGTTAGCAGGGATGCCCTGAGGAGGTCATCACAGTATTGATCTATGAAGAATATTGTTTACATTGTGAGAAATGGACTACAGTAGAAATGTGGCGTAATCGCAGGGATTTTTAAATCAAATTTTTGTCAAGGATTATTGATGTCATATGAATAAATTTTTTAAGAATATTTTCTAAAGGATTTTCAGAGCCACAAGCGTGGATTTTTAGGAATATTTTCTAAAGAACTATCAGAGCCAGAGTGGATTTTGAAAAATATTATCTAAAGGGCTAAGTCAACTAAGTGTGGATTTTTAAATAATATATTTTCAAGGACTCTCGAGCCAAAAAACGAGGGTTGTTAGAAAATATTTTTGCAGATCACAAAGCAGGGATTTTTAAAGAATATTTTCTAAAGGACTGTCGAATAACAAAGTGTGGATTTTTAAAAAAGTACTTTTCCAAGGACTATCAGACTATCAAGCGTGGATTTTTCCAAGGACTATCAGCACACTAAGCATGGATTTTAAATGGAGATTTTAAAGAAGATTTTTCCAAAACGTGGATTTTTTAAAGAATATGTTTCTAAGGTCTATCAGATCACTTATCGTATATTTTTAGTGAATATTTTTCTAAGGACTATCAGACTACTAAGCGTGGATTTTTCCAAGGACTATCAGACCACTGAGGGTAGAATATTTTTTCATGGACTATCAGTTCATTAAGCGTGGATTATTAAACAATATTTTTCCAAGGATTATCCTTGGAATATTTTTCCAAGGACTATTAGGCCAGGAAGCGTAGATTTTAACAGCAGATTTTGCCAAAAACTATGTTTCTAAGGACTATCAGACCAGTGAGCGTGAAATATTTGTCCAAGAACTATTAGCCTACTAAGCTTGGCTTTTTAAAGATAATTTTTCCCAAGCGTGAGTTTTAAGAATATTTTTCACAAGCGTGAATTTTTAAAAAATATTTTTCTCAAGCGTGGATTAAAAACAAATTTAAGGACTATCAGACCACTAAGTGTAGATTTTTTCAAGGACTTTCAGACCACTGAAGGTGGAATATTTTTCCAAGGACTATTAGACCACTGAACGTGAATATTTTTTTCAAGGACTATCAGACAACTAAGCGTTAATTTTTTAAGAAGAATTTTCCAAGAGCAATCGGAGCACTAAGCGTTGATTTTTTATTAATTACTTTTTCAAGGACTAGCAGATCACTATGCGCGAATTTTTAGGCCTTGAAAAAATATTTAGGTCTTCAGAAAATATCTTTAAAAATCCACGCCTATTTTAGGCCTTGAAAAAATATTTAGGTCTTCAGAAAATATTCTTTAAAAATCCACGCCTACTTTAGGCCTTGAAAAAATATTTAGGTCTTTTGAAAATATTCTTTAAAAATCCACGCCTATTTTAGACCTTGAGAAACTATGTAGGTCTTCAGAAAATATTCTTTAAAAATCCACGACTATTTTAGGCCTTGAAAAAATATTTAGGTCTTCAGAAAATATTCTTTAAAAATCCACGCCTATTTTAGGCCATAATGAAATATTTAGGTCTTCAGAAAATATTCTTTTAAAATCCACGCCTATTTTAGGCCTTGAAAAAATATTTAGTTCTTCAGAAAATATTCTTTAAAAATCCACGCCTATTTTAGTCCTTGAAAAAAATATTTAGGTCTTCAGAAAATCATTAAAAAATCCACGCCTATGGTAGCTTAAAAAAAATCATTAAAAAATCCACGCCTATGGTAGCTTAAAAAAAATCTTTAAAAAATCCACGCCTATGGTAGCCCTTAAAAAAAATAAAAATCCACGCCTATGGTAGCCCTGAAAAAAATAAAAATCCACGCCTTCGCTAGCTTTAAAAAATAATCATTAAAAATCCACGCCTATGGTAGCCCTGAAAAAAATAAAAATCCACGCCTTCGCTAGCTTTAAAAAATAATCATTAAAAATCCACGCCTATGGTAGCCCTGAAATAATAATCTTTAAAAAATCCACGCCTATGGTAGCCCGGAAAAAAATCTTTAAAAAATCCATGCCTATGTTAGCCCTGTAAAAACAATCATTAAAAAATCCACGCCTATAGTAGCCCTGAAAAAATAATCATTAAAAAAATATTCTTTATGAAATCCCCGCCTTTATTAGCCCTGAAAAAACAATCATTAAAAAATCCACGCCTATGGTAGCCCTGAAAAAATAATCATTAAGAAAAAATATTCTTTAGAAAATCCCCGCCTTTAGTAGCCTCGAAAAAAATATTCTTTATAAAATCCACGCCTTTAGTAGCCTTGAAAAAATATTGTTTATAAAATCCACGCCTTTAGTATCCATGAAGAAATATTCTTTATAAAATCCACGCCTATTTTAAGCCTTCAAAAAATATTCTTTAAAAAGTCACGCCTATTTTAAGCCTTCAAAAAATATTTCTTAAAAATCCACGTCAATGGTAGCCTTGAAAAAATATTCTTTAAAAAATCGAAGCCCTTGAAAAATAATCTTTAAAAAACTATGTCTAATGTAAAAAATGTCATGCCAAGTATTACAAAAGCTACACGTGTCCTTGGTCCTTGACAATTTTTGTTTGTATTTTTACAAAGATTTGTTCATTTCATTTTCCTAAAAAATCAAATCGTTTCCATTGTCAAAAAATTTTCCGACATCTATCCATGATTTTAAAATATTTTTAATTTTTTTTATTTCATTTTGAAAAATTAAATAAAATAACAATTTGATTGCCCACTTACCTGCAGTACACAATCTTGCATCCTCATCATAACCATCCGAACAATCCGGAGCACCATCGCACAGATATTGAATTGATATACAATTTCCATCACCGGGACACTTAAAGGGTTCATAAGGATGGCAGGCATCTGCAAATAGGAAAGAGAAAATGGAAACAATGATAATGAAATAAAATTGAATGGGAAAAAACAAATAATATTGAATAAAATGTAAATTAAATAAATTGCAGTTTTGTTGTTGTCAAGTTGTAGTGACAGTAACGAATTAGAGTGAGTATGAGGGTGCTGAGAGACGCTCTGACAGACACTCAAATAAATTTAATTAAATTGTTAGACAGGTATTATTTCACTATAAGATGGAAGGCATGTAACTACAAGCTGGTCGTATTATTGAAGGATTGAAGAAGGCTTTTAAGAATATTTTTTTCAGACGTAGACGTGTGGATTTTTGAAAGAATAATTTTCAGGACCTAATTTAAGCGTGATCTTTTTATACCCTCCACCATAGTATGGAGGGTATATTAGTTTTGTTTTTCCGTTTGTAACGCATCGAAATAATCATTTCCGACCCTATAAAGTATATATATTCTTGATCAGCGTAAAATTCTATGACGATCTAAGCATGTCCGTCTGTCCGTCTGTCTGTTGTAATCACTCTAGCGTCTAAACGAATTGAGATAGAGCCCCAAAATTTTGCATAGAGTCGTCTTTTATCTGCAGGCAGGTCAAGTTCGAAGATGGGGTATATCGGTCCTCGTTTAGGCATAGCTCCCATATAAGGGTACCCCCCAATTTTGAGGTCTTGAGCGTGTTCTTCAACCGAATTCGCTGAAATTTGGTACTTTGAGTTCTTATTAGGTACTAAATATCCCTATTAAAAATTATAAATATAGGTCCACTTTTTCTGGTACCCCCCATATAAAGGTACCCCTCAATTTTCGGTATTTTGGGGTTCTTGAGCGCGTTTTTCAACCGAATTCGCTGAAATTTGCTACATTGGGTTCTTATTGGGTACTAAATGTCTCCACGGAAAATTATAAATATAGGTCCACTTTTTCTGGTAGCCCCCATATAACGGTACCTCATAATTTTGAATATTTTGAGGATTTTGATCGTATTTTTCCGCCGAATTAGCTATAATTTAGTATTTTGAGTTCTTAATAGGTCTCAAATCTCTCCACAAAAGATTATGAATATAATTTTCGGTATTTTAGGGTTCTTGAACGCGTTATTCAACCGAATTTGCTGCAAATTGGTATTTTGTAGTCGTATATGGTACCAAATCTCCCTACCAAAAATTATTAATATTCGCCCCCATTTTGGGGTAGTCCCCATCGAACCCCCTTTTTATACCCTCCACCATAGTATGGAGGGTATATTAGTTTTGTTTTTCCGTTTGTAACGCATCGAAATAATCATTTCCGACCCTATAAAGTATATATATTCTTGATCAGCGTAAAATTCTATGACGATCTAAGCATGTCCGTCTGTCTGTCTGTCTGTCTGTCTGTTGTAATCACTCTAGCGTCTAAACGAATTGAGATAGAGCCCCAAAATTTTGCATAGAGTCTTTTGTCTGCAGGCAGGTCAAGTTCGATGATGGGCTATATCGGTCCACGTTTAGGCATAGCTCCCATATAAGGGTACCTCCCATTTTTCGGTATTTTGAAGTTCTTAACCGTGTTTTTCAACCGAAGTCGCTGAAATTTGGTACATTGGGTTCTTATTGGGTACTAAATGCCTCCACAAAAAATTATTAGTGTAGGTCCACTTTTTCTGGTAGCCCCCATATAACGGTACCTCCTAATTTTCGGTATTTTGAGGTTCTTGAGCGCGTTTTTCAACCGAATTAGCTGAAATTTGGTACATTGGGTTCTTATTGGGTACCAAATATCCCTACTAAAAATTATATATATAGGTCCACTTTTTCTGGTAGCCCCCATATAAGGTTACCTCCCCATATCCAGTTTTTGGGGGGTTCTGACCGTATTTTTTCACCGAATTGGCTGAAATTCGGTACTTTGAGTTCTTATTGGGTAGCAAATCTTTGTACTAAAAATTATAAATATAGGTCAATTTTTTCGGGTAGCCCCCATATAAGGGTACCCCCCAATATTCGGTATTTTAGGGATCTTGAGCGCGGTTTTCAACCGAATTCGCTGAAATTTGGTACATGGGGTTCTTATTGGGTACCAAATTTCCCCTCTAAAAATTATAAATATAGGTCCACTTTTTCTGGAAGCCCCCATATAAGGGTACCTCCCAATTTCCAGTTTTTGGGGGGTTTTGACCGGATTTTTTCACCGAATTGGATGTAATTTAGTAATTTGAGCAAATCTTTCCACAAAAAATTATAAATATAGGTAAATTTTTTCGGGTAGCCCCCATATAAGGGTACCCCCAATTTTCGATATTTTGAGGTTCTTGAGCACGTTTTTAACCGAATTCGCTGAAATTTGGTATTTTGTAGTCGTATATGGTAACAAATCTCCCCACCAAAAATTATTAATATTCACCCCTTTTTAGGGGTAGTCCCCATATAACCCCCATATAATCTGATTTATTCCGTGTGTTGAGGTTGGGTAGTCGTTACGGGGAATAGTCAATTTTTACCCTACAAAGACTATTTAGCCATCTGTTGTAAGCATTCCGCCTTCTAAAAATATTGTGATAAAAAACTCAAAAATGACGATAATGAAATATATCGGCAGACATTTAGGCATCTCCTCAATATAGTGATAGCTCCTGGGTTCAAAATTGGAATATACCGGTCATTAATTAGTCATAGCCCTCATATAATGATATCCCAAAATATGCAAAAAGTATCAGTCCACTTTTTCGATCTTACAAATTTTAGGGAAAATCCCCATTAAAAATAGCTGAAGTTTGTATTTGTGTACATAATGGTTTACATAAATCGGTTTGTAGAATTATCGGTATATGCCCACTCTTTGGTATGTTCCCTATATTTTCATTGCATGTATCTGTCAGTATAATTATGGTGGAGGGTATCCAAAGTTCGGCCCGGCCGAACTTAACGCTTTTTCACCTGTTTATATTCAAATGGTTATCTGATTTGTTCCGCGTTTTGAGTTTGGTTCTTAGACTCTGATGTAATAATTTCACCTGCGGAGGATATCGAGATAAAAAATTTGAATTTGAACTAAGATTGGAAGAAATAATAAGATGGACAAAGTTTGGATGAAAACTAAATTTTTTGTAACGGATTTAGTCCAAAGAAACATGGGGTGTAGAACCAATATTTCGATTAGCCATAGTATATAATTATCCATTAAAAATTAATGCATTTTTGTTATGGTTTACATAATCCCTGTTTAGAAATGTCGGTATAGGTCCACTTTATGGTATGCTCCCTATATCTTCATTTCTAGTACCTGTCAGTATATCTATGGTGGAGGGTATCCAAAGTTCGGCCCGGCCGAACTTAACACTTTTTCACTTGTTAAAATTATATTTTCAAGCCCACAATAAGGCGTGGATTTTTTAAAAATTATATTTTCAAGGCCACGATTTTTTTAGTTTTTAAACAATATTTTTTTCAAGATCTACTATCAGGCCTGAACTTGAAGAATACTTATTAATGGACAATATCTATATTTAATTATTTTTTTTATTCTGTGGTCATAAAATTTTATGTTCACATTTATACATATTTCATTACTTAACCGTCCTGTAAATCTGTGTCATTTTATGGCTTCATATACAACATTTTGCTTTACAGAAAAACCAAACCCACAACTTGTTTTTCAGTATCGACTTAAATGAAATCTCATCATTATTTTATAGTTATGTGCAAATGTACAACCATTTTCAACAATTTAAACCATTTTATTATAGCTTTAATGCCATCTGATAGACGATGGGGTCACAACACAACTATGATTGCCTTAAAAGTGGGCAATTTTTTTTCTATATGGTGTGACACTAAAGCATTTTGTTAGTCCGTTATTGTTTTTGTGAACATACAGAGTTTTGTTTGTGTTTCTCCCTTTTTTTTGGGAACATTAAAATGTCCTTTAGTTGCCATCTATATCCACTCAAAACACTTATATACACATATCGACAATGGTCACACTATCACATTGATTAGTTTGGTTTCCGTTAAAATTGCACCGCATGTGGATGAGTGAGTCCGTGTGTGTGTCTGAATGAGATTGCCGGTAATATAATGAAATTAAAAGTGGCTACCACCATCATGTGAGTGACACAAAATGACCACTCACATGTGAAAACCGGAAAACATACACAAATGGCTGTTGAACAAATCGTGTCGCATGCCGTGGAGTGAAAACAATACAATGCCGGTCGGATTATTATTATCATCATAAATGGGTTTTGTTGGTGGTGGGGGTTAAGCTCCTTTAGCTTAGGTTGGTGAATGATACTTATCGGACACATTAGTCTATGGATATGGCAACTAAATGTGGACACAAACAGATAATTATAGGATAAAGTAAAATTATGGATAAAGCCATTTGTTACGGATAGGGTATGATTTTGTTTTGAGAAATATTATATAATTCGGTCAATAGTTTGTTTGACGATTTATGGAACGATTGAAATTCTGTGGGCGTAATAGAAGCATGAACAAACAATAATTATTATTACATTAAAGTAGTAAAAGTCGGGAGATATTAGGAAAGTGGACTAGAGTTCATGTTCTTGAGCCTTTAAGATTTACATAGACCATGTGGCGTATACGTTTTGACAGTTATGTTTCTCTAATTGCGAGATGCATTGGCTGAATTTTATCCGTTAAGGTACAGCTAAAATAAATCCACAGTAGAATACATAATAGAAGGTAATTCTAGTGCTACAGACATGTGTCCAGCCAGAGGAGGAATCATTCGTATTCAATATAGAGGAATGGAACAACTATACTTTAAGAGATAATTTATACAACAAGTCTGAAAGTGTAGATTTGAACATCGGCCTCGATTTTTATTCTGAGATCATAAAAGACGTCTATGGGAGAGATAAAGGATTATTTGCAGATTTCTTCTCATAGAAGATCAATAAGTCTTCCCACAGAAGACCAAAAATTATTCCCATAGACCAGTGGAGTATTCAATCAGTATCAATATAGAAGAATTGAACAACTATACTTT